TCAATCTTATTTCCTATTCTTTGAAGTATAGAGCAGTCAGTTTTTCCAATCCCTTGAGGCTCCAAGTTTTTGTACTCTCTCTATTCCTTTTCATTTATGGTTGCATACCTGCTTATTATTGCATGAGCTCATCTCATCTTTCTAATATCTTGCTAAATGTAGCCAGTAAACATAACTTACTAACATTTCCTTTTCCAAACCCTTCTAGAGCTATGGGCTTTGTAGTCACCTTATTTGCCTTCTGAAATACTGCACGAACTTTTTTACCAAATGTCTTGCCATGGGTTTCCATTTTCCAGCTCCTAATAATAGTTTCCTTGTTGTCTACTGCCTGCCTAATTTTAGATTTGCATGATAGCACCCTATTCTGTAACAATTTCTGTATTAAGGTAATGCTAGCTATTGGGGCAAACATACCTCAAAAAGTCCCAGTAAAATTTGTTTCTTGCTCACCTAACAGTTCAGTATAAGTGTTCCTGGTCAGGGGTGGAGGAGAGAGGGAATAACCCTTTGCCATACAGTCACCTAGGGACCCAGGCTTCTAGAGGCTCTGTCATCTTCAACAAGTAACTTCAAAAGTTTCCCTTGACACCAAATTCCAACCAGCAGAGACCAGAAGAGAGGGAAGATCATGGGTGGGAAGTTTCTGTGAACCAGGCCTGGAACTGGAGCCATTATTTCTGTTCACATTCCACCGGCCAATAGAATTTAAGTAAAAGTAGACTTTGCATCTTTCAGGAAGTGTTCTTGAAGGGAGGGAATATACCTTTCTTCCTTCCAGCTTCTTCCTGGCTGGAAGTGAGAAATGGTGCTGGAGCTCACGCAGCCATCTTAGACCACAAGGTGAAAAGCACATGTTAAGGATGATGGAAAAACAGAGCTGAGGTCCCCGATAATCATGGAGCTCTCCTACCAGCTTTGCACTGCTTACCTCCTGACTTTAATTAAGAGAGAAATAAGCTTCTGTCATATTTAAGCCACTGTTGTTTGAGTTTTCTTTTATTTGTAGCTTAACCTAACTTTAACTTATATAATTATTCTCTAATTGTTTGGTATGGTTACTTTTTCTTTTGCCCACTCCTTTTAGTTGAAGACCTTTAATACTTTCTTCTCATAGTAGAGGAGACTGTAAGAACTACCAAATCTCTGACACAAGTAGTCTTAGCTTATGTCTAGCACCTTCAGATCATTTCAAGAAACATTTATTGAATACCCACTAATGCCAGGTACTGGTTGAGCCCATCTTCTATGAACTGCATCTTCCAGGTTCCTTTGCCTTCTGGCTTTGGATCATGGGAGGTACCAGCAGGAGATCAGAAGGCAAGAAGTGAGAGAGGTCAGGATATTTATCCTCCCTCCTTTCAGCTCCCCACCAGACTGTGGGTCCCTTACCCTGCCCTCAGTAAAGAGTCCTTTCATTGAACTTTCCTCATTTAAACACTTTGAGTCTGATATCTGTTTCTTGTCTGGGCTTTAATTCATTCCAACCATGGATCAACAAGAGAGTATTAGACTCCGTTCCTCCAGCTGGAGATCTTAAAAAATGCAAATCAGGCCCCTTCACATTCCTCTGTGTTAAAACATCAATGGCTGTCTATTGTATCCCTGTCACCACACCCCACTGTAAGTTGCAGCCAGACTGAACGACTTTCAGTTCCTCCTGCAGCATGGTCTCTCTTCCTCTGAGCTTTTGCACATGCAGTACCTTTTTCCTGGAAACTGCTCCCTACCCCCCACTCTCATCATTCAGACATCAGTGCGAATGTCACTTACCCCAGGAACTCTTCCATAAACCTACTTATCCTAGTTAGAGGTTAGTATGTGCTCCCCAGGCAGCCTCTAATCACCATCACATACAGATAGAACTCAGTGTTACATTGTACTTCCACTGCGTGCATATTTATTTGTGTCCTCTGGTAGACTGTAAGATATAGAACAGGGACTGCAGCTCAGATCTCTAGGACCTATTAAGGTGCTTGGTACCTAATAGGCTCTGACTAAATCTTAGATAGTACCTAAATGTTATTGAAAAAGCTTGAGCCCTCCTCCTCTAGCTACTGTCCTCTCTTCTCATTCACTGGCAAAAATCATAAAAAATAATTTTTAGTCACCCACTCCTCATTACTACCTTCCATTTACTTCCCAGACCTTTTTTTTTTTTTTAAAGATTTTATTTATTTCTTTGACAGAGAGAGACACAGCGAGAGAGGGAACACAAGCAGGGGGAGTGGGAGAGGGAGAAGCAGGCTTCCCGCTGAGCAGGGAGCCCGATGCGGGGCTCGATCCCAGGACCCTGGGATCATGACCTGAGCCGAAGGCAGATGCTTAATGACTGAGCCACCCAGGCGCCCCAGACCTTTTTTTTTTTTTTAAAGATTTTATTTATTTGACAGAGACACAGTGAGAGAGGGAACACAAGCAGGGGGAGTGGGAGAGGGAGAAGCAGGCTTCCCGCCGAGCAGAGAGCCCAATGTGGAGCTCGATCCCAGGACCCTGGGACCATGACCTGAGCCTAAGGCAGATGCTTAATGACTGAGCCACCCAGGCGCCCCCTTCCCAGACCTTTTTAATCTTACTTTGCCACCACTTTTTATGGGGACTTCTCTTGCCAATAGTACCAATGACCTCCTACCTCTTCAATGTAATAGATTCTTTTCAGTCCAAATCCCCTAGGAATGCTCTGCAGCACTTTCTGGAAACTCCCTCTGTTGTCTGGGGATCATGGATCTGTCTCTCTCTCTCATTGATTTGTTTGCATATCTATGCTATCCTCCATTCATTTATAAGCCCCTGTGTGTCTTATTCATTTCTATCTCAAGCCCCAAGGATAGTAGCATAGTGCCTGGCACACAGTAGTTCTTAATAACTATGAATGTTAAATGATTAAAACTCTTGGTTTCCAGCTCATCTCTCTTTTTCTTTCTTTCTTTCTTTCTTTTTCTTTCTTTTCCATCTCTCTTTCTTGATCTCTTTCTCTGACTGTTCTCAGGCACCTTCACAGACTCCTCTTCTTCCATCTACCCATTAACTATTCTTCAGAGTAACTCATTTTTATCCACCTTTGGGGTTTCAGCCATCAGAGAATACCCTAATTCCCTCATGTTTTTAATCTTAACCTTTCACCTGAGCTAAGGCTGCCCACTCTCCCGGGATATCTCACAGGCAGTTCAAATAACTTTCATTCCCAACCTGCCCTCCTCCTGCTTCCAAAACTCAGCCAGTGGAATTAACATGCACCTATATGTCCAAGTTACAAACCCCGAAGTCCCCTTAACTCTTCCCACTGCCTTTCCTGTCCTGGAGGGCTACCAGCTTTATCCACCACTAAACCCCCAAGCCCAACTCCTAAACTCTGCCTCTGGGTCTTCTATTTCTTCCACCTGGAACACCTCAGGCAAATCCTACACATTCTCTGAAATTCAGAACACAGGTTAATTGCTTCCTCTTCTAAATTCTAGACAAATTGCTTCTTTATTCTGAACAAACACAACTTGATGCTAGATTTAGTTTTTAATGACTGATTTACGTATGTCTGTCACTAGATGGTAAAATTCTTTTTTTTTTTCTTTTAAAGATTTTATTTATTTATTTGACAGAGAGAGACACAGTGAGAGAGGAACACAAGCAGGGGGAGTGGAAGAGGGAGAGGCAGGCCTCCCGCCTCGATCCCAGAACGCTGGGATCATGACCTGAGCCGAAGGCAGGCGCTTAACGACTGAGCCACCCAGGCGCCCCTGATGGTAAAATTCTTGAGGGCAGGTTTTTGTCTTTGTTTTTTTGATCACTGGGTCTAGCCAGTGACTGACATTCTAAGGTGATTAAAAACTATTTTATAGGAATGAATGCATGAATAAATGAGTGAACTGGGAATGAGAATCTCTGCAATTACACGCTTTCAGAGATTAGTGGGAGGGAATCTTGAGTTAAAAGGACAATAACTCAGTTTGAAAAAACGATGTAACCAAGTAGGCAACATATATTGTAACAACATATACATGCCTATGGAAGGAAGGTAATTGCCATGCATCTTAGGGAGGCTTTATTTTCCGGCTTTTCAGTTCTCCGTTATGGACAGCCGTATTTTAAAAGGGAAGGTATTATTTTAACCCCTCCTGTACTCTTATCCTGGGAGACAGGAATTAAAGTATAAATAAGAGAAAACGCCTAGAGCAGTGCAGTGCCTGGGCACCTGGCAGGCCCTCAACACATTTTAATCCCTTTCCTTTTTCCTGCCTCGTCCTCATTTTACATTAGAAGCCTTGTGAATTTAGAGTATCTAAAGGAAATTTTAGTTTTAGGATTTCGATTTGACGAAAATAACGTCGTGGAGATTCTGATTAACCCTATTAACCCATGACTCTCAAACCCAAGAGAAGAAAAAAAAAATCATTGGAGGGGGAGGGGGGAAAGGAGGCCGAGCAAAAACTGAAACAAGGCTGAGAGGAAGCTGTAGAAGGAAGCTCCTTTTTGGTTGGGTTTGTCTTTATTTAACCCCAGAGAGGCGTGACGCTCTAACTGCCGTCGTGGGTCAGTTTCCCGGCGAAGCGCCCGCCCGCCCCGAATTTCCTCGCCCGCCCTGCCGCTTCCGCCCCGCGGTGCGCTGCTGGCCGCCGCCGCTGGGGGCGCCTCGGGCCCCGTGGCGCTGAGGCAGCGGCAGCA